GAGGGTTCGGGGCAGCATCAAGGTGTGGCGGAATGTGGTAGGGATGTGCTCCACCATGCCCTTGAAGAACAAATCCACGACTGGTTTTCGGTCACTCTCCTGGTATTTGCGGATGTAATAAGGAGCCATAGGGACACTCATGGGTCTAAAATATCAATGTCCACAAGTGACAGCTAGACCAGATAGCACACCTTCTGAACAGCCCTGCAATAGAGAGGAAAAAGTCACGTGTATCACCCTGCCATGGACTACATCTCCCCAAGACAAGGGAGACAATGTCTGAGGTTATGTTTTTCTATCATCACTGGTGAGGACGCAAAAATCCCCTGCTCTGAGAAGATGAACATCAATAACATGTGATTAGAACACCAGTTTGTTCGCTTTTGAGCTGTGAAGATAAGCATATAACTTAACATCTCTGAACCTATGTACCTGATTCTGAAAAACAGAACTGTATATTATTGTTTGAAAAATTGAATAAGATATATGAAACACTGGCACCTGTAGTGCCTTCTCTCTCCACGCTCATTACTCTATCACCATTTCTCTGAGCTTTTTGTGTACTAGGATGGCACCTGTACCAACCAGACCTTGTATTTTCAAGCCTTTGTTTCCATCCCAAGTTCCAGTGACTGCAGAAATCCTGTGTCCCCCAAGCAAAAAGTAACAAATCATGCTCCTGACTGTGAAGGTGCGGGCTGCCTAGGAGGCAAAAAGACCAAATTCCAAAATGGTTGGCTAAGATCCTCTAAAATGTTGTCATTTTCAGTCCATATTGAGAGCCCCAACCTTGCAGCCCTGTCCACTTACCTGCTCTACAACCAAGCTGACAGTGTAGACAGTGGCCCAAGCCCTCTACCTCCAACTGGCATTCAGAAGACACTGTTTAAAATTTGCTCTTAAAAGGAGAACTGGGTGCACCTCATTGGTGGGGCTCTGGTGAACACAGGATAATGATGAACCAAAGGTCAATGAGCTGGGTTGTGCCTAAGAAGGGCGTTCAAGTCCACTTACCTTTGTGATCTTTGCAGAAGTAACCTGGAGGGTAAAGTAGGGTTGGGATGGGGCCACAGGTCCTCACTCTCCTGGGAGGATGTGACCTTCCTCCTGTTTTCTTTAGGACACAGTCCCTCTCCTCAGCACACTGGGCCCCATCTGAGGTCCACTCTGGTCCCCTACCCACTTCTGATAGGAGCCTTGTGACTGTGCCTATCACCTTGGGCTTGTTCAGCAAAAGGCAGAGTCCAGGTTCCTTCCTCAAATACAATGTCTGTCAAGTCTGTGCCTCTCCCTGCCACAGCTTTACCTGTTCCAAAGACAATGGATAATGCTGGAGGGTGCATCACTCACCTATCCCTTCCTTCCATTCACTTCCTCAGCAGCTGTGTGGATCACCAATGGTCTTGTAGGTGTCCTTTGCAGGCACCAGCATATTGGGCAGGTGTTTGGGGCCATGTTTGTGGCTCAGAACCAGGGTCATGTTTTTACACAGTTCAGCTGAGCATGTGCCTAAAACTGACAAAGGTAAACACAAGGGTAAATCACTCTCTGTGGAATCCTCCATGGAAGGGATGTCTGCCTTCCACAAATGATTTTATATCTGCCCACATAAGCTGATCACTTAGGGTTCACTGGAAGAACAAATTTAGTATTATTGTGTACCGCATGCGCACGTGTGTGTGTGCGTGCATGTGATACTTAAAGGACTTACATGATAGGCTCACAATGGCTGCCTGCAAAAAAGCCACCTGTGTGCTGAAGAGTGGAGGAGACAGTTAAAGGGTGCAGGCCTGGAGCTTTCTGCAGACTCTCCTTTGAGTCTGTATCAGGATGCTGACAGTCTACATTGCAAGGCTGAAGTCTGTCTGGAGGCAGGGCAATGGACGTCCAAAGGTAAGGAAGAAGACTGGGGCCCTTCCAAAGAAGCTAAAGATGACACTTGCTTCTATTTTCCCTTTTCATTCCCTTCAGGATACAAGCCTATTAGTTAGTGCCATGGGCAATCCCACACATAGGCCGTTACCCTTTGGTTGTGTCATCACTTGGTCTGTATGTGGAGAATGTATCAGAGAGGCAGGAATGTCTGCAGATTCTGCCGAGGTGAGTACAGCATCTGAGCTGGACAGGGACCTGCAGATGGCATCATGCTGCTTGTGTATAAGAGCAGCTGGACAAGAAAGTCTAATACAAACTAAATTGAGCCTACAAAAATTCTCAAATCTCAGCCCACCCTAGGGGAAAAAAAAACCACTTATTTCTAATTTTCTCCTCGGCATTCTTTCTCTAGTTACCTGCACTGACGGTGTGCAAGGCATGATGGAAGAATGTAGGTCGGTGTTCCCAACAGAGCAACTGGTCAGCAGAGGCCAAGAGTCAAGGCAATGCACTGAATGAAAGGAAGGTAACTGAGAGTGAGACCCGAATCTCAAGGTGTACTTGGAAGCAGAAAAGGCAGGAGGCAGAATGACTGAGGGTGGAGGAGCAGGACAATGGGATCCAAGACCATGACAAGAGCTTCTTGGAGGACACAGGGAGGAGGCCAGAAATGGAAAGGTGAGGGCTACCTGTATACTGCATCCAGCAATCTTAGCCAGAAGCAGATGCTGGAATCTGGCAGCTGGCACTCAGAGCCTGTGGTGGAGGCTGCTGAGCTTTTAGGCTCTTTGGCATGTGATCACAGCTCAAGGGTGATGTTAGTATCCACTCTGGGTGGTGAGTATACTAGTAACATTGCTCTTGGGTCATTTTATTACCATCTATCGAACCTTGAATATTCAATTAGTTGAACTAAAATATAAAGGAGAGTAGAGGGCTCTAGGGTAGAATACTCCTGCAATAGAATAATTAAAACTCTCAGCTTCACAGTTGGCACCATTGACTCAGCCTTGACAAACTACACTGGCTACAGCTCCAACAGAGATAGTTTGGCTCAGCTCTGTCTGACCACATCCAGCTGCAGCAAGGCCTGTAGACAGATCTTGTTTGCAAGCCTGTTTCAAGGTATTCCTCCCCAGGACAGAATAGCCCAGTCATGGACATGCTTCATTGATTAAACTCCCTTGCTTGGCCCAGACGCTCCCTGTTAACACTGCCATATGATAAATGACCCCCCACCAACTGAAACCCACTTAAAATACATCTGTCTAGCAATATATGACTAAACATATGTAACCAATTATAGAATAAACTACTACCAGCCTTTGTACTTCCTGCTAGGAAATGATATATTAATCTGCTTGTTTTGAGAGAAAGTGGTAATTAAAAACTAAATTCCCAGCAGCCCACTGGTACAATAGTTGTCTTCCTACTCCTTGGTGTGGAGAGTTTTCTATTGGGTTGGATACAGGTTTTGTAACACTTCTAATGAATTTGAGTAATATTAACCACTTGGATACCCAAGTCATGCTGAAGAGCAAGAGGCTTATGGACACTCAGGACCCCTATACCTCTAGCTCAAGTCAGGCTTTTCATCTATCCTGGGCTTCACCACAGTGTCAGTATCTCTGAGGTCCTTTCTATAAGACAATGGGTTTTTGAGTCAGAATTGGTTTCTTCACTCAGCATATAGGACTGTGTCTCTGTTATGATCTTTTCTTTCTTTTTTATTTTAATGTATTTAGTACAGGGTCTCACTACACAGCTCAGATTCGCAGTGATCCTCCTATTTTCAGTCTTCCCAGTGCTGGGATTACAGGTGTGTGTCACCATGCCCACTCTTTGTGGCCAGCTCAGTGTGCCCAAAAGGCATCAGATATCACAGCCATGGTCATCACCCTCAGAGTCACCCTGGTCATCACCCTGGGAGTCCCAGAACACTGAAGCCCAAAGAGGAAGAGATCTCTCTGAATCCAAATAGATCAGTATCTGAATACTGAAGGAGCACTACTGGGAGACTTGGGATGCTGTTACCCTGGTGGAGGGAGTTAACGCACCTCACTGAAACTCTGGTTTCTGTGGAAATCATTACAGAGATTCCTGAAACTGTTTTCTCCCCTTTCTATGTGAGTGAACTTGGGCAATTCACTTAACTTCTCTGAACCTGTGCCTTCATCTGAAGAGCAAGGAAAATAACACCTGTCTCCTATGGTTGTGAGAGGATAAACAGAATAAGTTATAGGAAGCTCTGGTGTACAGTACCTGCCCTTTAACCCTCACTGCCAATTACGTGCTCTCAGAGCAACTTGGTATATTGGAAACGAACCTGTGGCAGCCAGACCCTCAATGGCTAAGCTAATTACTCCATCCCAATATTCTTGCATTGTAGAAATCCTGTATTCCAAATGAGCAGTTTTAGCAAACACTTCCTGACCCCAAACTGTATACATTTATGCTCTTAAGGACACAAATGGACCCAGAAGTTTGGGAACTCCAGGCCTTTACTTAGACTTAGGTTCCCCCTCCGGAACCTGTACCAATGCCTCACCTGATGCCACAGCGCCCTGAGGGTCCAGGGCAATTTCAGCTCTCAACCTGCAAGTCTCATCCACCAAATTTTTTTTTTTGGTGGAACCAGGGATTGAACTCAGGCACTTGCACTTTCCAGGGAAGTGCTTATTCCACTGAGCCATCTCCCCGGCCCCTCATCCAACAAAATTGACTGGGCCCAGCAACAGCTCAGATGCAAAGATCTGAGTGTCCCCTCATTGACTGATGTCTGGATGGTTAATAAAACTGCAGGATCATGGAGCTGCACTGTGAGAGCACAGGGAATCCTGGGGAATTAACTTGTAGAATCTCCAAAGTGTACAGGCTTCCTAACCTTGGTAGAAGCCTCTCACTGCTTGTCTTGTTCTCTCAGACCACAGCATCTCTCCTCAGACACTCAGCTTTCTCTGAGGTCTTCCCAAATATCCTGTAACCTCATCCTAGGAGCTTGGAGACTCCACCACTCACCCTGGGATCTCTCACCACAGGCCATGCTTCACATCCTATGACTCAGAAACTCAGTCCTTCAAAGAAATGATTATCCCTGCTGAAAACCTGGCAAAGACCTGGGCGAAGACACACAAATCCTGGATGGATCCTCACATTCAAGCCAAACCCCACTCCCAACTCCCATTCCTTTTGCTCTTCTTCATTCAGTCCCTCAGCTACAGTGTGGACAGTGAAACCCACTGGACACCACTTGCAGTGTCTACAGTGTGCTCTGGTGGGGAATGAGCTCCTTTCACAGGGTGAAAGATGTTGGCAAAATCAGATGTTGCCTTTCTGGCGACCTGTCCATAACCCTAACTTTACATCACCTGTTCCACATTTTATGATCTGGGCCATCCTCACTTCTGATACTGCTGCAATGGCCATTTCTCAGGTTTAAGTTAGCAAGCTCCTGAACAGCTTGTTCCTTGTCTTTCCTCACCTCTTACCCTCCACTCCTTCCTTACTTCTCCCCTCTCTCCCTCCCTCTGGGTCTATTTGTTACAGCACCAGCAGCCTGGAGCCCAAGTCTCTATTATATGAGCTCCTTCTGAGTACTGAGCACAGCTTCCATCTTTCGCCCATCCGCGATGGTTTTAAAAGGCAGGTCTCGCTGTTCTTCCCACTCTGGCCTCGAACTCCTGGGCCCAAGAGATTCGCCTGCTCAGCCCCCCCGCAGTGGGGAACTCGGAGGAGAGCCACGGCCCTGGCTGGGCAGCTTATGCGCTCTCTGCCTCCTCACTAAGCTTTCCTTCCAGCGGGGAGAGGCTCACCTTATCACAGTTTCATGCTGGGCTCCCAGGGGCTGGCCTGGGTAGCTAAGAGAGGTCTGTCTGCGGAGGAACCACGTGACATGAAACTACCCAAGCTGCACGCGGTTGTAATTCCCCTCCCAGCGCGCTGGAACCTCCGGGACAGAACCCACCCTCTGTCCCGGTCCGTCGCAGAAAATCTCCCCCTCGGAAACAAATCCCTCAGTTTTTGGGTGTGGCACCCAATCTCCGCCCTCTCCTAACCAGTTTCCTTGCTCTGCACAACACATTCCGGGGTCTTGGAAGTCTTGGCCCAATTGGTCCGTCCTCCTGACTCTTCCCCCTGCGGCTAAGTTCTGTGGGGAGGGGCCCTAAGGGTCTCAGATAAGATCCCGGCGGAAGCAGACCTGCCAGGTTGTGAGTTCCGCCTTTGTTCTTTTTTTTTCTTTTGCGGACCCGGGGATTGAACTCACGCTGTTGCACTTGCCGGGCAAGCGCTTATTCTATCTCCCCGGCCCCGCGCCTTTGTTCTTAACGTGCCTTAGGCCTCCTGGGAACTGCCTCTTTTCTTCCTGTACTTAGTGACAACATGAGGTCTCAGCTGTCCCCACTGCTTGAGATTCCACAGTTCATCCCAGGGCAGTGGAACTCAGTTTGCTTAATGCTCTGAGAGTAATTCTGGAGAGAAATCATTTAGAGAGCCGCTTAGTGATTTAAGAAATTTAAGACCCATGGTGACAGTACCTGGAAGAGATGAGCCTTTTTATCTTGAATAGGACCCAAAGTTTGATGTGTAATCTTTGTACAACCTCCAAAAGGGGGTACAAAGGCTATAGATTAATTTCCATTTTAATTATGGGAGATTCATCTTGATCGGCACAGGACTTTTCTTTGCAGAGAAAGACAAATTAGGTTTTTGAGGAAGATATGTGCTATGGAGGAAAATAGAGAAAAGAGAAGGAATGCCAGGCTGCAAGTAGAACTACCCATTGGCTGATACAATTTTGTTGTTGTTGTTGTGTTTGTTTTTGTTTTTGTTTTTTGGAACCAGGGATTGAACTCAGGCCCTTGCTTACTCTACTGAGCTGTTTCACTGGCCCCAGAACTATACTTTGGAATATCCATAAATAGGATGGGTTAGAAACATACTTATGAAACCATAACTGTAAGAGGTCTGGAAACAACCTGGTTATATCTGGTGGGTGGAGCCCTCCAGGAAACAGAAGAGCTCTGAGAGGAAGAACTTTGTAATTTCAATGGAGAGATATACTGTGTGTATTTCCACCCCACCATGCCTGCTTTCCCCACCCCCACCCATCTTCTTTTTCAGTACATTTGATAGAACCTTGGAGTTTATGAATGTAGAGAAGTACTCTACAACTATATCCCGAGCTATATCCCCAGCCTATGTTTCACTTTTAAATTTATTCTGACAAGAGACAAGTGTCTAGATTATATTAAAATTTATAACTACTTGAGCATGGGATGGTGGAACTGTAATCCAAACTACTGGGAAGACAAGTTGAAGGCCAGCCAAAGCAATTTAATGTAACCTGAAAGAGAAAAAACACTAAAATCCCTGGAAATTAGTTCACTGTGAGGCCTTAGATTTAGTCCTAGGAACTGCAATAAATAAACAAGTACATGAAAGAAACCCCACAATATAAAAATAATAAAGTAGAACAACCTAGAACCAAGTGTGGTGGCTCACACTTGTAATTCCAGAACTTTGGAATCTGACGCAGGAGGATCACCAGAGTTTGAGGCCCTCTGGGTTACATGGTGAGTTCAAAACTAGCCTAAATTACATAGCAAAACCTTGCCTCAAGAGGAGAAAAAAAAGAAAGGAAACTAATTTAGAACAGGTGAGATATCTAAGAACACTACTGAAAATATAAAAGACATATTAAAAGATTATCAAGATCATTAGTCATATAGGAATGCAAATTTAAAACACAATAAGTTAAAACATGAAACAATGGCAATACCATGCCAAACACGCAAAACTGTCACTTGTTTAATGACTGTTTGGATTTACCATCAGGGCACACTGTTTGTACTTATAATGTTCCACTGGGATTGGTAGCTGGGTCTTTTTTATGCAGTTATATACATCTTATTTATAGACTCTCAGTGACTTTTTTGTAGTGTATACCATGTTTGTACATTATTGTGATTTTTGCTGGTTGTGCTATAGCAAACAAACACCAAAATGACACCCAGGAACTGGAAGTAGATTTATTTATGTCAACAGGCCCTCATTGGGATCAGTCCAGAATATCTCTGGTAGTCCCTGATTTGTGCAATCTGGGACTTATATGATAGTCTTGGACTTATATGGGATAAGCAAGCAGGAATTACAGAAGCAGAATGACTTGTGTGTTGGGGATCAGTTTACATGCGCATTATAGTGACCAACTGTGCATCACAGTGACCAGCCCTTTCAAAGAAACAAAAGTCACAGGAACTGGAACTGGAACTGTTACCTGAGCAACAACAAACTGAAGCATACTAGCAGGGGGGATGGCATTTATTGCTGCAATTGTACCATATACTACAGTACTATAGTTTTAAGTTACATATTACAGTACTGCATGTAATAGTTATGCAAATAAAAGCAAAGTCATCAAGTTGGCGTTTCCCTTGACCACTTCTTTGTTCTGAATATTGTAATACACATCCTGTATACAGTTCCTCATTTAGTGAAACCATGACCCAGTCCCAGGAATAGGGCATGGTCATTAAACAAGAAGCATTTGCATTGCTTGCTGTTCTGAGTGTAAAGTGGTATAGCCACTTTGGACTAGTTCTAGTTTCTTTGAAAATGTTAAGTGTATACTTAGGACACCCACCAGTTCCACTCCTCAATGTTCACCCAGGAGAAATGAACACATGAAGCAGGTTCCCTTTGCATTGATAGGCAACTTGTCTGAATCCAGTAGGACAGACCACGCACATGTACAAGTAGAGATGGACAGGGAGGTATATCCAAGCCTGAGATTCACTGTGAGCTGGCCTCCTAAGGCTCAGGAAAGCTACCCGGAGGCATGGAATCTCTTCTGCAGATGCACAGATACAGAGCACCTCAGGTGGCTGAGCACTCCAAAGAGCAGCACATCCTGCTTGGAGGAAGGGGCAGCCATGTGACATGCTGAGCTAGAGCATTAAAAGATATCTGTGACTAGGCAAGACTAGAGCAGGACCTATTCTGGCTGCTGTCAACTTGTCCCTCCTTACGTGAGGAAGTTGCATTTCCAGAAACACCAGTTATTCTTGGGAGCCACAAATGACAATGGTGAGAAAACTGGGCTAGTCCAAGTCCACCCAGAGTACTGTCCTGTCGCTTATACATGCATTTCCTTGTGAGCTTTACTTGTAATAACCACCAACTAGAAGCAATTGATGATCAATAACCCATGAATGAATAAATGGTGGACATGTATACAATTAAATATCACTCACTAATAAAGAATGAACTGTAGCTAGTTATATATGAATCTAAAAATGTGTGCAGGAAAAATGGTAACAAATCAAAATTGTCTCACTGTAGGACTCCATTTCTACAAAACTAAGAGTTATAAATTTATTCTAGAGTGACTAAAACCAAAGCAGTGTTAGCTCAGGAGAGCAGGATGGAAGACATTGTTCTGGGGGAACTTTTAATATGAAGCCAGCATTCTGAATCTTGATGTGCCATTGCAGGGGCATATGAATTTGTGAAAATTCCTCCAGAAGAGTATATTTTATAAGCTATAAATTATGCCACAGTACAGTGCATAAAACATGCATCTCGCTTCATAATATCTTCTTTGTAACAAGCAAAAGCTGGAAACTATGTTCAAAGTTTAAACTTGTAATCAACCTAAATATCCTTCAGCTTGTGCCTGGATATAAAAATCCTTGTTATATAGAGGGGCATACTAACACAACAAAGAAAAGGAATAAACTGGTAACTATTCAGCATTATTAACAAATTTCACAAACAGTGTGCTAACTAGGAGAAGCCACAGTTGGAAGGCCATATACTCTTTGTTTCCACCTTGATGACATTGTAGAAAAGACAAAACAACAGGGACAGCAAAGAGATCATCAGTTGTCTGAGCCAGGGGTTGGTATAAATGATCACCTGCAGAGTGGCTTGAGGGAATTTAAGAGAAGAGGAACAGATTGACATTTGATTTTAGTGTTGGTTATAAAGCTGCATGTATTTCCTAAAAGCTATACACAAAAAGAAGGTGCATTTTACTATTTCTTTAAAGTCACCTCAGAGGTACAGATTGATCCCTTTATCTAAGATACAGGGTTAGGGCCAGGGAGATGGCTCAGTGGAATAAACGCTTGCCTGGCAAACACAAGGGCTTGAGTTCAATACACCGGTTCCGCAAAAAAAAAAAAAAAAAGACTAAGATAGAGGGTTAAATGTATCATGTGTCATATGCAACCTCATTAAGAAGTCATAATATATTAAGGGAGGACTTTAATAATAACATACACTTTATGGGCCTTCCTAGGTCACTCTGTGCTCACCCATGGGATCACATTTCACACACACATAACACATATGAACACATGCACATACACATATGTACACAATCAGTTAAGGAGGTCAATTCAGGGACAATTCCAGATCAAGAGCAATATTCATGGAAAGAGCCAATGGCACTGTTTTGATACTTAGCTGGCCACAGGGGACTCTCTATGGACAGGAGTACACAACCTAATACCTGATGGTTCTGCCTGCCTGCCTCCTGTGATTCACTGACATCTCCTTGACCAGTTCTACTCCTTTCCTGCTAGTTGGCATTTCCTGGAATAGGAGGAGGCCATGGCTCCTCTTATAACTCTTCAGGAAAAGGGGTCTGAGTTCCACAATGGATCTGGTCTATGAGATCACCTGCAGTCCAGCCATATGGGGACCCTGGACATGAGATGTCTGCACCTGAGCTCCTAGGGTTGGCTGTTCTGCACTTGAGCTACACACACAGTTACCGTATCTCTAGCTTCCTTTGCCAGGTAGGCTCTATCCCCCCAGCCCTTCTGTACACCCTGCACAGCGTCCCAGGTTGTGTCCATGTGCCTGTGCAGAGAGCAGGTGGAAGATAGGCTGCTTGGGGCCACTTGTCATCCTTCACCATCCCAGGTGGCACAGCTCTCACTGTGGCTGTTACTCATG